CGCAGTCTCAGTTGCCATCTCAGCTCAGCGTGCCCTGCAGGCGGGGCCAGCGCTCCCGATTGAATCCCCAGCCCCTGCACCTGCTTGCAGGCACTTTAATCCCCTGAGCTATTTGGCCAGCCCACCATCAGCTTTTTGATCAGGTTTGCCTCATGCTATCCTTTCCACTATTTTTCTCTCAACCCCTGCATAATCTTGTTTAAGGAGTGTCTCTTGTGAGCAGTATGTGATTCAAAATGAAATTAAAAGAAAATTCTAGGTGTAAAATTCTAGGTTGGCAATGGTTCCATTGGCCCTTTAAAGACATCATTTCATTGTCTTCTGGGCCCCATTGTTTCTGTTGAGAAAGGAACTCTGATGAATTGTTGGAACTTTATTTCTCTCTGGCTGTTTTTAAGATGTTTCCCATTACATTTTTTCTTTCAGGAATTTGACAGTGAGGGCTGTGTATGTTAAAAACTTAACTCCAAACCTAGTTGGGATTTTGCCAGTTTGCCCTCTGTTTCAGGATCCAGCTCAGGGTTGCATACTGCATTTAGTTTTCAGGTTTTCCCAGTCTGGTAGATATGTAAGTTTCACAGTCTTTTTACACATGTATTTCCTGACGCTGCCAGCCTACAGGAGTATGGCCAGGTCTCACTGTAGAATGTCTCACAATTGAGGTTCGGCTGAGGTTTTTCTCGTGAATCATCTGAAGTTTGGCTTTGGAAATAACATGCGTCAGTCCTCTCATGTGATTTGCTTTGTCCCGTATGAGACGCAACAAGTTTATGAAATCTATGGGTGAATATATTCTGTCAATTTTGGCCAGCTGGAATATTGTTCCAGCTCCAGCTCCAGCCCTTGGGGGCATCGCATCCCACATCTGTTCACCTGTCTAATTCTAGCGTCCTGGCTGGAGGTACCTGACAGACCCACAGAGGACATCTGGAGCCAACCAACAGCTTGGCCCCACGCTAAGCCCAACCTAGATCAGATGATTCTTAGGTATCAAGTAGCTGCATGGTCAAGAATAAATGTTCAAAAAAAAAAAAAAAAAGAATAAATGTTCAGAGATTTAATCCACTGAGTTTTAGGTGGGTCTCGTGGCTGGCAATAGCTGAACTGCACTGGAGCATCTCACTTCCGTTCTCTCTATCCCAAGCAGTCGCCTGGGACCCGGTACTTACCTACCTTTCCCAAGCGATGGGTGTCCTCCACTACCCCAACACCTGTACTTCCCTCTTTTACTTGATCCAAGTCAGGTTTGGAGGGCCACTGCTGAGCTCTCCTACTGTCCCTTCTGTTATGTAGGTGGTAGGTGCAGGACTGCCTGTACATCCATCAGCAACAATGTACCCATAAGCCTACCTCCTCTCTGGGCCTGGGGTGCAGGGACAGCCGCATACACAGGTTTAGATTTCACAAGTGAAATTACACAGGAAACCTCAACTACTGGGTGCTTAGGTTTAGGATCTTTTGTCAGGGTGTATCGTGGGGCTTAACTAAAACACTTGACAAATATATTTTCTATATTTCTATAAAGTAGAAAATTACAAAAATAGAACAATTCCCTAAGACTTTGTTTTGTTATGAATGAAATAATTTATATGTAACTGGCCTAATATTTAAGTGTCAAGCAGCAAAATAATGGTAGCTCATTAAATACAAGAAAAATTAAATTTTATTTGACAATAATATTAAATTTCATACATTAGTTCCTGTACATTTATTGATCATGTAGCAGATCAACTTGTTTGCATAATAAAAAGGATGAATTTACATAGCTGACAGCTCTTCTGGATGGCTGAAAATACATGGCGTATGGCTGAAAATACACCATTCCCCCCAGGGCAGGGGAATAGTGGCCCAGTGGATCTGTCTACTTCTCTCCAATCATGAGTAATCTGGACCAGGATTTTATGGGCTCCCATAAGCCTGGGACCTTTCAAACAGAACAAATCAGAGGACAAGAAAGAGGCAACCAGTGCAGGAACCAGGGTTGTTTCCATGACCACTTTTCCCACATGTACCGCTGACCCAAGCCTTGGTCCTACCCTCCTGGTGCCTTAGCCACCTTTGTGTCAACTCCGCAAACCAAGCCAACCTGGACGCTTCAGATGTTACTCTTGTGTTCTACCATGTGCTGATCATTTCCCATGCACGAGCCTCATGTATCCCCAGTCAGTCACTAAGCGAGCTTGTGATTCAGTGCCCCCATCCTCTAGCCATCTTGCTGAGGCGCCAGAATGGTGCCAGTGAACTTGTGCAGCGCTATTTCACCCATCTTTGGGGGTGAAACGGGACAGGGAGCAATGGGATTAGTCGGACAGAGAAGGGGTAGAAGGCAGAACACCGGAGCAGCCCTCTCTTGCCCCTGCCAAGCACAATTCCTTCTTTGGAAGGTACAACCGATCACTCCTTCCTCTCTCAGTCTGAGTTCTGCCTGACTAGGGGGTGGGAAGGAGTGAGTGGCAAGCATCCAAAAGGCAGCACGGATCCCGGTGACCAGTGACAAAGGACTCAGCCTCAGGAGGGCAATACGCTGGGCGCTTGCCAGGAGCGAGGCACTGGGAAAGGTGCTTTGTGTACAGTTTCAGGGTTATAAGGAAGTCTTACTTCCCTCTCATTTTAGTGCTGAGGAAATGAAGGTTCAAAGAATTTCATCAGCTTCCTCTGGTTATTGAGCTAGAAAGCAATCGAGCTGCTACTGAATGTAAGCCTGCTGTGTTCCCGGGATCTCAGATCCAGAAAGTGGTTCAAGGGAGAACCTGTACCAGGTCCTGACAACAGAGAGATCAAATGTTACAAATGTTAGTGCTGCTTTGTCAGAAGACACTTGAGACAGAAAAAATGTGGCGGGGGAGGGCCTGTGAGATATGTGATATGGTAGTCAAAAGACGGTATGGAAAATCTGGAAAGAAAAGATTCCTCCAGATTTCTCCCACCTGTGTCTCAGAGTAGAGAGGACTGAATTTCAGAAAGAGACACACCATGTCTTCAAGAAAGTAAGGCTGGGCCCAGAAAAGGGCTGGGAGAGGAGGCCTAACTACAGGCCAGAGCACCCTGTGGAGGCCAGCTCTTCTTTCTTCCTTTGCTGAGAGAAATCTGAGAGGTTATGCAGTCAGGCCACTGTCTCCTAATGTCTGCTTCATTCCCAGACATCTGAGGGCCCAGAAACTACCTCCCAACATGCTCATGGTCTGCTACAGGCCTACACAGAGACCGTGATGCAACACAGGGCGACTCAGTTCTCCACACAGAGTGACAGTCCTAGAGACAGGTCTGGAGGAACCTGCCTGGGGCTTCCTGTCAGTCTGTGCCAAGACCCACTAGGGCAGAGCTCCGCTGAAAGTCATGATGGGCAGGCAGAGGAGGGAGCAGAGGTCGGGTGCAGACCGGGTCAGCGGGTCGGGAGGTCTCTGGGGTGGTGGGCTGCTCTTCTCTGGCTTGTAGCAAGGTGACACTTCACACCTGTGGGACAAGGCAAGGGTATGTGCAGACAGCACCCTCCTCCAATCCCTCCAGGACTCTGGATCAGAACAAAAACTACTCTCCCTCCTGGATCCCTCTTTTGCTGAGCCAAACCAGGGTCCCCTTTGCCTACCTGATCACACTCTGCAGGATCTTTCTCTCATCCTGGTCTAGACATACAGCAAAAGGACAGCCATTGAAGCCAATGATTTGCACTTTGTTCACTTTGACTTGTGAGGTGCTGATCTGGAAGGGAGGCCTGTGTCAAAGCCCAGGCCCCAGACACAACACATGCCAGCCCTTGGTAGTTACTTCCCTCAGAGCTGCCCTTCTGCTGCAGGAGTCGGGCTGGTGGTCCATCAAGGCCAATGGCCAGACCAAGGAAGGGGCCTTGAACGCTCCATCAGGCCCTGCCTTCTCTCTGGCCTCTGCCTTTTTGAGAGTCTGGGAGAAGCAAGTGTCCCAGAGGATACTGTGCTGTCCACCCCTGCTGTCAGAGCCCGAGGAGGGAGGGCCACATTTCCTAGACTCAGGGCTCTCCTCATGGTTACCACCCAGCATCTTTGCACATCAATATCTTCTCACAAGACATCCTTCCCTCGCGCACACGCCCAACACTCATGCTTGTTCATGCACTGCCACTGCCCTGGCCCATGCCCCTCATGCCTCTCCAGGCCATCTGCAGACCTTGCCATGGACCTGCAGACCTTGCCATGGACACTCTGTCCCTTACACACAGGCATACGTGCACACCTACACATATACCACACACACACACACACACACAGAGGCATGCACACACACAGGCGTGCACACACATGTGGGTGTGCTCGGAAGGAAAGGGAAACATTTACCTGGTTAAAGCCCTTCTTGGACTTGGGGTTCTGCCTTTTCACCACTTCTGTCAGGGTTAGCGTCAGCGCCTCCATGCTGGAGTCTGAAGGTCAGGGGGTGCTCAGGCCAGGCTCAGGACCCCTCCCTGCCATGCACCCCTCCCCCTCCACCGGCCGTCCCACTCACCAAGCTCCTCCTGCTTCTGGCAGGCCTTATTGAGGTTGACAGAGGTACAGACTTTCTCCACGTCGCTCCAGCGGCTCCTTCCGCTGATGGCCCCCTGAAATGTAGCACAGCCAGACCCCCTCAGCCCTGGCCCCTGCAGCCTTGGGAGGCCCTGGAGGCCAAAGGCCAGAGATGCCTGCTCCCTGGCCACCTTCTCTCAGCACTCAGGCAAGGGCTTGCTGCTGGGCACACGAACAGAGGAGCTGCCTTTGGGCCCAAGCGCTGGTGGAGGAAGAATCAGGGCAGACTGCAGGGAAGGCGATTCGGGATTGGTTTTACCTTGCTGTAAATAATCCGTAGTGTTAGAGGGACGGCCTCCCGGTCGCCATCGATGCCCAGCCGCTTGCTGCCAGGACCTGTGCCACACAGATATGCTCTCCACCTTCCTTTTGCTGCTCCTCACGGACCCCATAACCCCACCTCCCTAGGATGCTCCCTTTCCCCGCCCCATTCAGGGATCCGCCCCGTTCGAGGCCCCACCCTCCTTGGCTCCGCCTCCACCCGGCGGTAACCACCTGAAGCCTTGATGGCTCTCGTGGCCGCAGAGTGGCCCAGCTCCAGAGAGTGGATGAAGATCTCCGTGGTTTTCTCCCCATTGACAAAGGTCAACTAGAGAAAGCAAGGAGCGCGGGCGTCAGTGGGTGTCCCTTGGGAGGGGCGAACACACTTGGCTCTTCCAGCATGACTGACGGGAGTAGGGGTCTGCATGCTCAGCAGGGCTCCACTGGGACCTGGTGAATCTGGGAGGAGTCTCGCAGCCTTACCTCTGTTTGATAGACCTGTAGGAGCACCGGCCGGGCAGCAAAGCGGCAGTAGTAGAGCAGCATGTCGGCCAGGATGGGCAGCTGGGCAGGTGAGCCCTCCAGGGGCCTGGATTCAGCCTTCAGGGAGTGCTGCGGTCAGTGCGGGAGCCAGGCCAGAGAGAAGGAGACAGAGCCAGGACAAAGAGGCCACGAGAAGAAGAGAGGCAAAGGCACACAGGAAGAGGAGACAGAATGGGGAAAGAAGCGTGAGATGGGAGCGGGGGAGGGGTGGGGCAGGGAAATGCCTCCCTACACCCTCACCTGGCATAAGGTCCCCCTGGAGGCCTCTGGCCAAGCTGGATAAGCCAGAAGTTATGTAAGGAAGCTGAAACTGAAGCTTCAGGAGCCCTTCTAAGGACCCTTTCCTGTCACTCCAGTGACCCATGTCTTGCGATTAGCATCCTGAGTTTAGCTTCTATCCTGTGATTCACTCACCCTCCCTGCTTTTTTTTTTTTTTGTTTTTTGTTTTTTGTTTATGTATTTGGTACAGGGTCTCACTACACAGCTCCAACTTGTAGTGATCTTCCTGTTTTCAGCTTCCCCAGCACTGGGATTACAGGTGTATGCCACCACACCTGGACTCAGTTGCTGGCTCAGCATGCCTTGGGGGCAGGGCTGGCTGGGTGTGCAGGACTGGGGATCAAATCCTGGTTCCTATGCTTGCCAAAGCAGGTGCTTAGTCTGCTGAGCTATCTTGGCAGTCTTCCCTCCCTGCTTTTTCCAAGAGTCTTGGTCCTCTATGAAGGGTCCTCCCAAAACCAGAGCCAGTGAGGCTCTCAAACCCAACCCCACAGGCCACTTACCTGGCACAGGACTTCAGGGGGCAGGTTCATGAGGCCCAGCACGTTGCGCTCATACCAGGGGTCAAGCATGCCGAGGTAGTGGGAGATGTCATTGGTACTGTCCTCCCATGGGCCCGGGCCTAGCTCCTGGGACAAAGGATGAGAGCCATTCCTAGCTACCCAGGAGGCCTGGCCATCCCTGCTGCAGGGCCTGTGAGTGTAACTGCAGCCCTAGCTTTTCCCTGACCTTGAAGATGTGTGACAATTTTTAGTCATTGTCGTATGGCAATGTCATGCCCCAGTACAGAGCAGGGGCCTGGGAGTGAGGGCAGGCAGAGGAGGGACCCTGTAGACACAGGTGATCATCCTTGATAGCTCCCACCCAGACCCCCTTTAGGTTCCTGGAACCCCCTCGTGACCACTACACTCACCCACCCCACGTGGCCCATGGCCGGGGACATACTGTAGGACTAGGTTGTCGCAAGGAGTCTTGGGCGAGTGGAGACGTCTTGCTTGGAGGGGCTGGGCAGGCACTAGAGCTAGTACCATGGCTTCGCTTCACAGGCACATAGAAGAACTGAAGCTTGAAGAACCGAGTGAGGAGTGGGTGGGTGTTCTCCAGCCTCCTGGCAAAGAAAAGATAGGGAGATATGAACCCCGGGTCACTCAGAGGCCTTAAGCCTCAGGCTGTGGTTTCCACCGGCATAACAACCCTACCACACAGGTCCAAGCAATTTTATTCTATGGTGACGTTATGCCTCTTACCGGAGGTTACTATATGCCCGAGCCACTTTCCCTGAAATCCGATCGGAGCCAAAGACAACAACCCGTAGTGTGGAAGCCTTGGGGTCCTCATCCCCACTCAAAAAGGGGCGGCGACGCTGGTGGCATGAAGAGGGGGCCAGGAGCCAGCTAGGCAGCTGGGCGCTGAGCTGGGGCTGGGGCAGGGAGCGGGAGCGCTGGGCCCGGGAGTGGGGCTGTGCCGGAATGTCCAGGGGACTGCAGAGGCTCCCCGCTCGCCGCAGGGGCAGGGCTGTGTCCGAGTTAGTCTCCAGGCCCCGAGAATCCCTCCGCAGTACCAGCTGGCTGGTGCTTTTGAAGAGTTTATAGATCTTGTTGAATTTCTGCCCAGGCCTGCGGTGTCCCCGGTGCCTCTCGCTGCCAGGCCTTTTGGGCCACTCAGAGGCACTCTCCTCACTGTCCTCCACATAGCCACTGTCCATGCCATCTGAGAGGCCCGAGACAAAGGAGGTCAGCAGGTGACGGGACAGCCCTGGCCCTGAGGCTTGGGAGGAGGCAAGGGACAGGGTGGAGTCATGAGAAGCAAAAGAAAGGGTAGAGAGCAAGGAGTCTCTCTCGGTACAGTGCCCATGGGTCTCCAAGTCCTCTTCCTCCTCCTCCTCCTCTTCTTCCTCCTCTTCCTCTTCCTCTTCATCATCCCCCAGGATGCCTGGCTGTAGCAGCTCCTGCTCCTTCAGGAGGATTTCCTGCAGGATATCTGTGGAGAGGCAAGGGCACTGTCTGGGTGGGTGGTCCCTGAACCCCTATGGAAAGGCAATGGGCTCCTGCAGACTTCTGAGGAAGAGCCAGAGGTTCTCAGGGCCAGCACAGGCCTCAGGGCGGCGCCTCTACTCTGCTTAGGGGAGTGTGTGGGAGTGAGAGGACCAGAAGGAGAGCTTGGGCAGTGCAGGGCTCGGGACCCCCAGAGCCAACCCCACTCCTTACCAAAGCTGTCCTGGTTCCAGCTGTAGGTGTAGCACCTGGCAACAGGGATGGGGATGGTGTAGAGCTTCCCAGGGTTTGCAGTGTCTGTTATCGCGAGGACAGGAGAAGAGGGTTGAGGGGGGACCTTGGAGAATGGCTACCGAGTCTTCTTGCTTTACAGAAAACTTGAACAAGCACTGGCAGAAGGCCAGACTGCTGGATGGGCAGAGGCCTGGTTAGAGCTGGAATGCCTGACTCCAGGCCAGAGACGGCACACCCTTCACTTGCTTTGGGGAGATGGCCAAGTCAGTCTCTGAGCATCATCTTACCACGTCCCCATGGGAGAACAGAACTACCCTACAAGGGTGCTATAAGGGAACACCTAATGGGTCCTCAGAGCCTGTGCTCTTTTGTTCTATGGTTAGCAAGACTGTAGGAAGAACATTTCTGAGCTCCTTTGGGGCAAGACATGTTCATGCAACAGAGGTAGGCTCAAAGGTCTCCGTGCAGAGGCCAGGCATGCAGCCTCTGCAAAGTCTTTGCCTAAACCCCAGAGCCCTGTGCCTCTGGCGAGCCTTGAGCACTATCCATTCGCCTGTGCATAGCCCGCACCTGCAGACAGGAGAGGTGCCCTGGGCAACGGAGGGACAATGAGAGGTGAGGAACCAGATCCTGGCAGGCAGCGGCCCCCTGGATGACTTACCCCAGGGCAGGGAACTCAGGGGGAGCTTCCTGTCCCCAGAGCCTCACCTAGGACCCTCGGGAAGCCGGCCTTTTCTCCTATTGCCTGCAGCTTTGTCTTGAGCCACTGCCGGGCTTTTGTCACATCTCCGATGCTGGATGCCAACTCCTGTGCTTCTGCCGTCTCTGTGAAGATGTCCTCGAGTTCTGCCAGGGTCTTTGACTGAAAGCCCAGGAAGAGACAAGGTTTGCTCCTGCCCTGTGGCTGGGCTGCCTGCCTTAGTCAGCTTCCAGGGTATCACCAAGGGCAGCAGTGACCAGTCTGGGGCCCAGCCTCATTGCCCACCTTGTGATGGCCATCCAAAGAACTGGGCCCCCTCTATACTCCTGGGAAATGATCAGAAGAGAAAGGCTGGGGGGTGGGGTGCACACTGCAGAGCAGGAGAGACTTCAGCTTCCTTCCTGCACCCCAGAAGGGAAGGGCTGTCCAGGGTGACACAGCTTACTGATCACAAAGCCAGGATAGCAGCCAGACCTCTGTCTAAGGCTCATTCCTATTGCTGTGCTAAGTCCCTTCTGAGGCACCAGGCCTCAGGCCCCAGTCCCACTGCCCAGTTTACCATCTGACTCTGCCCTGGCATGACCCTTGGGTTGAGGAAGACCAGTGCCGACCAAAGAAGGCAGCAGAGATGGAGCAGAGAGGGGGGTACGCCTCTTGAGAAATGCTGTTGGAGCCCCAAGTCCCTACCTGCAGCTTGCCATGCAGGCCTGGAAGGTCACAGTGGGCTCCAAAGGTGGCCTGGAAAGCATGCAGGAGCAAAGTAGTGTAGGCACTGAGGGGCGAGTGCTCAGGTGCGCTCAGCTTGTTGGCCACCGAGAGGAATTCGGCCTCCACCTCCACTGGGTTCAGCAACAGCACCGTGCTGGGGACACAGAAGGCCAGCGATGGGACCCAAGACAGGCTGCAGGTCAAGGGACAGTTGCATGCCTTGGATTCTCTTACATCCCAGCAAGGGCTCAGCAAGTGACAGCAGGAGGCCAGGAGAATGGTGGAGGGGCCGGAGGAGCCGGAGGGTACACTCTCTAAGGGGGACACAAGCTGACTTCTGAGTATTTTCTAGCTGGAGATTTCAAAGACCTTTTTGAAACTGAGGTTAATTTTTTTTTTTCCCCAGAACCGGGGATTGAACTCAGGCCCTTACACTTGCCAGGGAAGCGCTTATTCCACTGAGCCATCTCCCTGGCCCCTAACTGAGGTTAATTTTTAACAATTCATTTTACCTTTCTTTTTATATAGACATCTTTCTCTACTGGACATCTGAGTGGATTCAAATTACTCAAAAGAGGAGTTAAGGTCCTGAAGCCAAGTAACCATTTCACGGGGATGAGCTCTGTGTGTCTGTGTGTGCGTGCGCACACATGCATACGCTGAAATTCCTCATGGAACCAGGTAGCATCCGGTTCCTCTGCCCATGGGAACACCTTTTGATTAGCCCAAAGCAGGCTAGTGTTAGGCTGGGGGTGAGTGTTACTCTGCCTTCCTTTCTCCTGAATCTATAGGCTCCCTTTCAGTGCCAGTGTTAACATTTCTTTACTATGGGTACTTGCAAATGTACCCAAGTGTTAAGAGAATTGTGAAGCCCAAGGTGCCAGGAACAGTTAACAACACGAAGTCTTCCCACTCTCCCCCACCCCTGCCAGCACTGTGCAATCTCAGAGCACGCTAGAGCCATCATGGGGCTGTTTCCATAGGGGCTCTAGGATGGCCTACTCCGGCCTGCTCACATCCTCTTACAATTCCATACTGTGTTGAAACCCAAGGCAAAGCAGCACCGTGCAGGTAGGGTTCCCTCCAGGCTCTGTGGATATCTGTCCTAGGCCATGCAGACAGAGCTGAGTGCACATCAGTGGGAAACTGATTCTGATTTCTCCACTTGTGAGACAAAGGAGGCAGCGCCCCTTTCCCTTGCTGAGCACTTGATGGTCTTCCCTTGGACATATACTGAGTACCAGCGCGGGCAGGACTGGACTAGACAGGCCCCTGCCCTTGCTGACTTGCGCGATTTCTCTGCTAAAGATCTTGTCATCATTCCCACTCAACTGATCATGAAACTCTCAGTCCTTCTCGCTAACCTCTCTGTGTTTCAGTTCCCTTACTTGGAAAACACCTTTCCCACAGAGTTAACTTGAGTTAACATATGTGAGTATGATGTGAATGGTGCCCAGAGCCCAGTAATTGCCTGAATGGTGTTGGTGGCTACTTACCAGCCCATCTGCCTCAGCTCCCTAAAGATATCTCTTTAATATTTGCTAAACACAGTAATCTACCTTATCTAAGGTTTCAGTTCCTTCAGTTAGGCATGATCTGAAAATATGAAATAAAAACTCCCAGGAATGAATGATTGATCAGTTTTAAATGGCACACCGTTCTGAGTCATGTGTTGAAGTCTCAGGCAAAGCAGTTTCATCCCCCGGGACATGACTCATCTCTTGTCTAACGCATCCGAGCTGTGTGCACTACCCTCACGTTCATTACAATTATCACATTAATTGTGCTTGGGCTCCAGTAAGCCATATTTTACTTCACAGTGGCCCTGCAGTGCAAGAGGAATGATGCTGGCATTTCAGATACACCAAAGAGAAATTATGTGGAAAGCTGCAATTTCTTAGAATCAGAAGGATAATTAAAAATATAATGAAAGTTTACATTTTAAAATTATTTCAGTAAAAGATATATAACCATGAATCCCCCTTACTTTGAACATACTTATTCCACTGTTCCTGGCAGTGTGTCCCCTACCATAGTAAGTTTAAAATGGCTTAGATATTCACTGTATTTTTCAATCATCCCAGTAGGCAGGGTTTGTTCTATACTATTTCAGTGTGTTTCCAGTGGGTAAGGATTGCTCTACAACATGTTGATGTCCTTCCTGTCTCTCTTGGCACTTTCCACAGGTTTTCTTGTTTGCTGGCTCTACCTAGGTGTGTTTCATGTGTCTCAGAAGCATTTATTCTGTGGTTCACTGCAGTGAACTCTTCAGGCAGTGGAGGAGGAAGGATGGGGTTGCTAGAATCTCGGGGCTGGTGGAGCCTGGGCTCCCAGGGCTCCCACCATGTCAAAGTGACACGGACAGATAGCACCATACACTTCCAGGCCTCCAGAGGGGCCTCAGGGTGGTGTTGTTTTTTCTACTACCTTTCAAACTTCAGGCAGTACCCTCGGAGTGGGTAGTGAAATCAGTCTGGGAGGTCCCAGCCAGAACTTATTATTGAAATGAAGTAGATTAGGGCAGAGAGCTTATCCTAGAGGGTAGCATTAAGTTTCATTCCATGAAACTTGTTCAGCTCTGTGCATATGGGGAATGTGTGTGTGTGTGTGTGTGTGTGTGTGTGTGTACACGCACGCGTGCGCATGCGCCTATGTGTGTATATTCATGTGCCAGACTATCATATAAGTGCATTTTTCATTATAGGTCTTGTTCAGAAATGTTTGGAAGATGCTGTCACAGTAACAGAAAACATTGTGAAATGAGCATAGGCCTTTGTGTAAGATTAGAGAGTGAAACATCTGCTCAGCTTCTGTGACGTTGGAGAAGTTACTTGGCCTCTCTGACCTCTGGTTTCCTTATCAGGCAAGTAGAGATGAATGCAAAATGTGTGCCCAGCACCTGGTGCGACTGCTGCTGGTCTCTTTCGAGACCTGCAGGAAGTTACTCCATCAGAACAGTGAAGTTATGCATAAATATACCACTCGTCATTCCAGGGGCTACCTGGTCCCCGTAAAGCCCAGTATCCTGTGCCTGCCATGGGAGCGGCTTCAGTGACAGGATGGTACAGGAGGGAGGTCCTTGCCCCATTTATCCCTCCCTTGGACACTCACACGGTGGAACTTCGCTGACTTCTGAGAGGCAGGCCCTGCTCAGCTCTCACCAGCCGCTGGTAGGAGATTCCTGTGGGCCAACAACAAAGAGAAAGGATTCATGGGCCTGGGTGGCCAGGAAGGAAGTTACTGGATGAGGTTCCAGATGACCCTGGGGAAGGGAGCTGCTGTTTGGGTCCTCTGTGTGCCCAGCACTAGGAACACCCCCAGCCTTTGTGACCACAGCCTCTGGCCCCCAAACCCACACTGAGCCCTGCCTGCCCTCCCTTGGCTCTCCTCAGCCAAGGACCCCCTCAGATATGCTGCATGGGGCCAGCTCCTGGGCTGGGGTAGCCCAGCGGGGAAGGCAGGGATGCAGGAGGAGAGCTGGCTTTTCTGTGTGGCTGCGGGTGGCTCACGCTACTCTAGGGCCTCAGTTCCTCCCTGTGAGCGGCAGCATGGAGAGGTAACCTCGAAGGCCTCTGAGTGTCTGTGAGTCCCAGCTCTACCACCGGGAGTGTTTTCCTTTTTTAGAGATTTAGAGGCTGAGCATCTGGAGAGGGAGCACCCGGGCACAGGGGCTGCCAGTCTCACCCTGCCTGGCTGTTCCCAGTCTCTAACATTGCTCTGCCCACAGGCTGGCATCTTCCTGCAGTAAGGTATGCCAGGCAGTCCTCAGTGCCTTTGCCCAAACTCAGCAGTATCCATGCAACAACCTTCAACCTCTGCATCTCTGCCTGGCCTCCTGTGCCCCTTGGTGCCACAGCCTGGCCTGGTGTGGCTCTCTGTGAAGTATCTAGACTCTAGGACCTGGCCCAGCTCAATCTGCTCCTCCCTACCTCTTTTACCTTCCTCTCTCCTGTGACTTCAAACACACGAAGGGGAAAGCAACCAAACGTTTCTGTAACATGTCTCTGTGACTAACAAGTAGTCTCTCCACAGCGCTACCCGGTTCCCTGTCAACCTTGGGGAAGAGATTAAACCATCCACTCATGCCCAACTGGGGTAAACACAGGCAGGCCTGGGGCTCCAATGCAGCAGGCTGCCCTCTTGTCAGAGCTCAGCGACAGTCATAAGGGAGTCCCCATCTTGGAAATGCATCTCCCTGGTCTGGGGCTGAGAGGACAGAAACATGTTCCTGGCTACGCCAAGCCCAGACAAGGGGTTTAGAGACAGCTGTAAATGGAGCAGAGAGACTGTGACTTTTGTTTAGGAAATGGCAGAAAATTACTAAGTCCTGCTCTTCTAACTTGGGACCTGTTTGCTTCGACTGTTCGCCTTCTGTGTGATATTTAGCTTTTGGAATTGCGCCATGGTTACAAGCTCATATTATGCCTATTTTGCGAGCAGAGTAGTGAAACAGCGGCTGCTGCTCTCAGTATCTGGAACACCATCTGGTGGCTTGTCACATACATTGCAGATGAAAGCCACCCGTAAAGCCCCCTGCAGCACCTCAAAATAACTGCCACAGAGACAAGCAGATATTCTCCCCGTCTCCCTCACAACAAAACAGAGACAAACAAAACCATCTCTTGGCCTTGTTTCTCTTTCCTTTCACTATTTAACTTTTTTTTCTAGTGCCAGAGCTCAAACCCAGGGCCTTGCACATACTAGACAAATGCTCCGCCACTGAGCTACAGTCTTGGCCTTCTTTCATCATGTCTTTTTTTTTTTTTTTTTTTTTTTTTACTCTTTTTTTGAGTATTGAGTTTTGTGGGGATTAAAGTTCTTTGAAAGGTGGGCTTTTTTTTTTTTTTTTTTTTCGGTACTGGGGATT